TGCAGCTGTGTGCCGCCACGGCGGGAATGTACTCATTTTGAATGAAGATGAACAAACAAACAGAAAAGTATGACAAAAGCTTCAAAGTTCACACACAGGCTGCCTTCAGCAAAGGGATTGTTGCGAGGTTGTACGCAGGGGGCGTCCTCCTCAGACGTGTTCTTCCCAAGTCGCCAGCTGGTGGTTACGGCAGTTAACTAGAACTCAGTAAAGGGAAAACGCTGGGTGACTCTTTCTTACTGCGGTAGAGTAAGCGTAAGATAAGTTTTACCATGCTACCTAGTTAGATGTGCAGGTCAGCGGTGTGCAGTCACCACCGGAACCCCGCCCAGCACCATCTGCTCAGCCGAACCTCCAGACCTGCTGGGCAACGCGGCTCACTCTTGATGTGTAATTTAGTCCTTGTTCTGCACGCTAAAAATTTGAGTTTGAAAAGGAAAAACGGGGGGCTGGGGATTTAGCTCAGCGGCACAGCGTCTGCCTGGCAAGCACGACGTCGTGAGTTTGATTCCCAGTACTGGAAAAAAACAAACAAACAAAAATAAAAAATAAAATAAAGAAAAGGAAAAACAGGCAGAACTCCCAGGCGACTGCAGAACTTGGCTCTGGGCACAGCCCTCCTGCTAGGAGTGCGAACAGTGAGTGAACAGCCCGTAGGAAGCCGTGACTGCGGACCGGTTCGTCAGACCGGAGGGTCTGAGACGCTGGTGCTGCACCGCGCCCGCTGGCCCCTTAGACGGTACCGTGGCTAAAATAGCTGGTTTTCTGTTATAAATGTCTTTAAGAAAATGTCAAAAACAAATAGGGTAATAAAGATACCCGACCCTGCCATCCAGAGGGAGCTATTACTCTTTTACCTGAGGGCTTGCCTGCAGGTGCAGTGCAAGGTCGGGAAAGCCGGCACCTCTGTCCTCTCGGTGCCTGTGTGTCTCCGCGCTGGGCACGTTCCCAAGCCCTCTCCCAGCTATTCGAAATGTAGAAGTAATTTTCACCAGCCAGGCCGCGCAACTGTGCTGCAGAACGTGAGGTAAGGTTTCTCCTACCCGTCCGCCCCGCTCCCCGGTGACCAGCCTCTCCCCGCCTCTGCCGCCCACCCTGGCCTCTGGCAGCCGCTACTCGACAGTGTCGGGCAGCTCTCCTGCGGCTGAGACAGCACAGCGCCAGCCGCGACTGCAGGGAGGCGCGTGTCTGAGCTCACGGTTGTGGGCGGCTCAGTACAGGTGGGCTGGCTCCGTGTGGGTCAGCCCCGCGGAAGGGCGAGGTGGGGCTCAGCGGCCCAGTTCCTGGCGGTCGGAGCCAGAGAGGCAAGGTGAGGCACCGCGTGTAGCAGCACAGGCCGTGCGTCCGTGACCCACCCGACACACCCGGCACGGGCGCGAGCTGTGCTGAGCCGCTGAAGGTGTTTCTTCATCGCTGAAGTCGCCACGCTGGCCACGTCTGCGCCTTACTGTTACGTTAGCTCCACGCATGAATGGGAACACGTGTCTCTCAGTGCCTGTGCGACTATCTCACTTAGCATCCCAACCTCCATCCACGTTGCGCTGTAAACGAGACTTCATTCCTCTTTATGGCCACCTTCCCATAACGAGTGGAGTAAATTGTGCGTATGCATTATATTTTTGTCTCTTCACCCGTCTGTGGAGACCGAGGTTGATCCAGTGTCTGACCTGCTGTGAATAGCACTGCGGAGAATCCCAGCGCACAGCGCTCTCTCCAACATGCGGCCCTCCTTTCCTTTGTTTTTTTTGTTTGTTTGTTTTGTTTGTTTTTTGTCTTTTTGAGACAGGGTCTCACTATGTTCAGGCTGGCCTTGAGCTCACTTTGAGGCTAGGCTGGTCTTGAACTTACAACGATCCACCTGTCTCAGCCTCCTGAGTGCTGGAATTACAGGAGTGCACCACCATACCTGGCCTGCCCTCTTTTCCTTTGGATCTTACCTACCATGGGATTACTGGGCCACGTGGCAGTTCTAGTTCTAGTTTTTTCTTTTTCCCTTTTTTTTTGTGGTATTGGGAATTGACCTCACAACCTCATGCTTGCCAGGAAGGCACTGTGCCGCTGAGCTATGCCCCTGGCCACATAGTTCTAGTTTTTTTTTTTTTTTTTGGTCTTGTTGAGGCAGAGTCTCACTATGCAGTTCAGGCTGGCCTTGAACTCACTTTATAGCCCAGGCTGGTCTCGAACTTGCAACGGTCCTCCTGCCTCAGCCTCCTGAGTGCTGGGATTACAGGCGTGCACCTCCACGCCCGTCAAGTTCTAGTTTTTTGAAGAATCTTCATATCAGTTTTTATACTGGCTACTTTCACTCTGGCCACAGTGTATATTAGTTCCCTTTCTCTGCATATCTTGCAGTCTTTGTATTTTATTTACTTTTGGTCTTTTTGATACTAGCCACTCTAGCTGGGGTGTGCCGTAGATCGCGGTGGTTTGATTTCTATTTCCCCAATTGGTGATGTTGAACGTACACTTATTCACCGTTGGTGTATTTTATTTTGAGAAATCTCTATTTGGATCATGTGGCCCTGCCAAAAACTGATCATTTATGTACTTAGCTCTTGAGTCCCTTATCTGTTCTGCGTCTTAATCTCTTACCAGGTGAACCATCTGCAAGCATGTCCTCCGGTTCCTGTACTGTGTAGAATACTTTCTTATCTCTGATCACTTGTATGCATTGCTACTTCCTCGTTCTCAGGTGCTGCCGTCAGTTTTCCACTGTGAATCACGGGGCTTCTCCCTCTGTCCAAACTTACCGCCCACCGAGCTTCCTCCCCTGCTTCCCACCCTGTCCTTCAGTGCAAGGAGAAAGTGAGGCGGAAGCCACTTTACTTTTCTGTAGTAAATTAAGGGAAGGTTTCCGCTGTCTTCTAGTCTTATTGTCTAAAACCCAACATTATTGTTGCTCGTTTTACTTTTACTGTGACCTCCTCCTCATCTCTGGAACTTGTCGGACCTTTGTCTGCAGCGCTCTGAATTTCATAAATATGTGCATAGCTCCTGAGCCCCTCTGTGTGGCCTTTCAGCCTGAAAATCATACTCACCAGTTTAGAGAAATTCCCTGAATTATTTCACCAATAATTTCCTTCTTCCTCCACATCCCTGGAGGTGTTTCTTTTCTTTTATTTGCATATTGGACCTCTAGGATCAGTTTTCTAATTTTTCTTATATTTTCTCCTCTACTTTCCAGATTTTTTTTTTTTTTGCTTCCTCTCTGGGAAATTTTCTTAATTTTATGCTTCAAACTGTCCATGCCTCGGGTTGAAGTAGCGCAGACATCTCATCACCTTACAGTCCTGAGGCTGGGAAACCTATCTCGGGTCTCACTGCCCTAGACCAAGCGTCTGGAGGGCTACGCTCTTTCTGGAGACTCAGAGAAACCATTTACTGCTTTTCAGGTTGTTGGCAGAACTTGGTTTCGTGTGGCTTTAGGTTGAGATTCCGCTTTCCGGATGGCTGCCAGCGAAGGGCTCGCCCAGCGTCGAGGGACTCCTCGCGCTCCTTGGCCCCAAATCCCTTCCTGCTCTTCAGGGCCAGCGTCCGAGGTCAAGTCTCACCCGCTTGCTAGTGTCAGGCCTCTTTCTCTGTGCAGCCTGTCGGAGCTCCAGCCCGAAGAGTCTCAGCTTTTAGGACCTCGTGCACTTATCCTGGGCTTACCCATGCAGTCCTTTTATTTTGTTTTATTTTATTTTCTGGCATAGGTTCTGGGGAGTAGGACACAGGTGTCTTTGGACATCTTTATTCCACCTACCACAGGAGTTTTTAAAAAATGTCTCTAGGGCCAGGGATATAGCTCAGCGGCATAAGCGCCTGTCTGGCAAGCGCAAGTCCTGAGTTTGATTCCCGGTACCAAAAAAAAAAAGTTAAAAAATGTCTCTATTATATTTAATTCCTAAGAACTCTTTGTTCTCAGAATGCTCTTTTTTCGTAGAGCAAACCAGTTGTGTTTCATGTTTGTAATATCTTTTTCTTTTGGTGCTGGTGACTGAAGCTGAGCTACACCAACACCAATGTGTATCTCCACTTATTTCTCTGAGTATGATAATGATAACTTTGAAAGTCTGATTGTTTTCTCCTGGTACAGATTATCTCCTGTAAATTGCCTTTTGTTGTGATTATTTTGGTTCCTAGCTTCCCTTTGTTGGCTCACAGCTGCGTGCCTCAGGCCTTCAGCAGCTGCGTAGCCCTCTGGGTACCTGGGCGAGACCTTGAGCTTGAGGGCAACATGACCGGCCTTCGTCACCTTCAACCCTTTTAGTGCTTTTCTCTTGGACTGGGTGAATCCATGAGAGACGGGTGTTAGTCAAGCTCCAGTCTTTGGGTCCAGGGCTGGCTGTCCACACTCTGGAAGCCAGGAGGAGGCCGCTGGAGATCTTGGCGTTCAGAATGTGCATGCTACTGGAGCGCTCTGCTCGCGGTAGGAAATCCTCTCCCTCAAACATACTTACTGCACTCCAGCCTAGAGACTTGACTGCCCGATTTCTTCCTCCAGAGACGTGACCCCAATCTTGTTCTTTTCAAAGGAGGGGCAGGAAATGGGAAGCTAATTCCCTCCTCAGCAGACACTCGACCCACCGCCTGTCTTGATCCTCACTTTCCTTCTGGACGACAGACACCTGATGCCAAGCCCTGAGTTTCTGGAAGCTCTGTGTGTTAATTAGTTCTTCTTGACTTTCCTGTGTGTTAATTAGTTCTTCTTGACTTTCCTCATTGCCAGGTTAGCACCTGGCTTCCTCAGATCGGCAAGGTCAGTTATCATATGTGCATTCCCTGTCCTTGTAGATGTCCTTGCGAGTGTAAGTCTAGTAGCACTGGGAGGGCCGAAGGATGGATCTGTGCTGTGACTACGCTAAAAATCACTAAAGTATTCACTACAAAAGGGTAAATTTTACGTGTATATATATATATATATATTTTTTTTTTTTTTTTTCCTTTTGTAGACAGGGTCTCACTATGCAGTTCAGGCTGGCCTTGGGCTCACTTTGTAGCCTGGTCGGGCCTCGAACTTAGCGATCCTCCCGCTTCAGCCTCCCGAGTGCTGGGATTACAGGTGTGTGCCACCATGCCCGGCTTGTATATCTCAATAACATGCATTTAAGAAATGAACGAGTGTGTGCCAAAAGCCATCTCTGTTCCACAGTGGACTCTGCATTTCAGAGACGCAGTGGACCAGAGCAGCACATGGAGGAAGCCCGGGACTGCGGTGGTTTAACTGAAGACCCGGCTAAGACACTCTCAGGTCCCGAATCGTACCGCCTTGCAGCGCGGCATTTCAGCCCTGCCCCTGGGAACCTGCGTCCTAGCGAGGTCTCTGTCCCCTCCGGCACCCACAACCTGATGGAGAGGGGTTCATTCCCGGCGGTTTCCATCCGCAGCCAGCGGGCCAGGGCAGAAGCAGCGTGGGGAGAGCAGGCTGGCAGAGGAAGGCGGCCGGCGTCATGGTGACCGGGAAGCCCAGGGGACAGGAGAGGTGCCCGGAGGCAGAGGCGCCCTTGCCGGCCGGCCCCTTCCCGCCCTTTCACCCGGGCCCTGCCGCAGGAGCACGTCTAGGTGTTCCCGGGGATCCACCCACGGACCAGTCCTTCCGGAAGCTCCACCTCGGCACGCACAGGCTTGCGGGGACACTGTGGATCTAACGCTCACCCCAGGCTCTCCGGGGCCTCCTGAGAGCGCACTGCGGACACCCTGGAGAACCTCTGTCCCGGCGCGGCGCAGTCGGGCAGCGCTTCCAACGTCTGAAAACATTAATTCTCCTAAGTGTCGCACCTGGACGCGCGCCTGGCCGTGCACCCCGCGGCGATGGGAAGTGAGCACACAGTAGGGCGGCGACTCGGAACCGGGTCGCACCTCTCCTGCGCTCCCGCTCGCGGCACGGGGTCCGGTAGGTGCTCAGAATTCAGGGCCACAGCGGACGTTGAGGGGTCCCTGGGATTCTTCACGCAGCCCGGAGCGACAGCGCGATGGCCTGTGCCGAGTGCCTAGGCCCTCCCGAGTCCAGCGGGCCTTCGGTCCGGTGCCGCCCGCCTGCAGCCGCTTCCGCACATTCTGAGCGGCTTACCTCATCGCTGCTTCACACAGCTAAGAAAACCGGGAAGGTGGCTATCGTATTTTTTAAGCAATTAAATGCTAATTACTTGACATTAAGTTGAGTTTTCTCCAAATTTGTTCTTGATTTCGTGGACCGTCCCAGCCTCGGCCCCGTTCGTTTTCACAGTTGAGTCTGCCTTCCTCCTGAGTGCTAGCTTCCAGAACCGGGGGGTCAGAGGCCTTCGGGCTGGCCAGTCAGCGAGCCAGACAGGTGGGGTCACCAAATGCAGACATGGAAAGCTCGAGAATTTCCGATGAATCGTGAAAATATTTTTTCAGTGTAAGGGTGTTATACATACTGTGTGGGACATGGCTAAACTAAAAAGGTACTTGTTATTTATCGGAAATTCAAATGGAACTGAATATTTTTTTTTTCGGGCAACCATAGACCCCGGGGAAGTGGAGGGGGGGCGGCCCCAGCCCTGAGCCCTGGGCTCTAGACTGGGGCCAGGGCTCTCCTTACGGCAAGGGTCCTGGCACCAAACCTCCCAGTTCATCCCTGCAGCTCTAACTCTCCCGCCTAAAGTGGCTTGAATCTTCTGTCAGGGTGTTTGACCTTGTGCCCATGATGATCCTTCTGGGGTCACCCTAGGCTGGAGGTGTGGTCAGAGGAAAGTGTAGGGATGGGTGTGTCCTAGACCTTCCCTACCACACAATCAACAGCAGTTCAGCTGTGCATGGTGATGCATGCCTGTAATCCCAGCACTCAGGAGGCTGAGGCAGGAGGATTGCTGTGAGTCTGAGGTCAGCAAGGGCTACAGAGTGAGTTCAAGACCAGCCTGGACTATAAAGTGAGATCTTGTCTCAAGACAAACAAACAAAAACAACAACAAAAAACCCCCAGCAGTTCACTTGCTTCAATACATCGGCATGGGAGAATTCTATTGTTTCTTACAGAAATTTCACCAAAGGATGAGTATTTGGAAAAACAAACAAGATCCAAGTCACCATTAACAGTACCATTACCACAAAGTAAATGTAGCTCACTTCAGGCCTTTTGGATGCGGTTCAGCTAAATGCACCCAGGTGCTCTAAGTGCTGGGCATTCTCCAGAGACGCTTTGGAAAGCTGAGGTAGAAGCTCCGGCCATTCCAGATGCAGCGTGGTAGAGCTGTCTGTGCAGATCCAGTGTAGGAAGAGAAGCAGAAGGCAGACAGAGAGGGACAGGCTTTTGTGGAAGTGTGCGCCATGCTGTGCGCAGCTTGAAAAGATCTTATTTAACCTCAGAGAGAAAATTAAGTAACTGCCTGAGCCTCAGCACTGCACCAACCCTCCTATGTGGGTACTGCCAGGAGGGGATTTTATTTTATTTTATTTTTTATTTTTTATTTTAAAGAGTAAAAGAAGGATAACATAGTAATGGGGGGC